GTTGAACACATGTGTATTTTGTTGGTATTCTGTGTACAAATAGTAACATTAATGGTATTTTTTGTACTAAAAAAACAACAATTGTATTTTTTGAACATTTGAAAACCGTATAACCTACAATAGCCGGTAAAATAGTATTTTATGTACAAAAAAAACAACTATGGTCTTTTTTGTACACTTTTAAAACTTCGTTACCTTTTTAAGTCATTATCCCAAAAAAGTATGGATTTGATTTCAAAATATTTCGACTTGCGTTGGTTTTATTTATTAAAAAATAAAAAAAAAAAATAATAAAAAAAAAAGTCTTTAAATAACTTAAAACGACTATTTTGTTATTTGAATTTTCTTTTTTTATTTGTTGGTCATATATTTTATGATTAAAAAAATAAAAATAGATCCACCTCATCCATTATATGATGTTTATACACTTTTTTTTTTTCTTTAAACCGTCTAGATTTCTTTTTTTTTCTTTTTCTTTTGGAATAAACTTAACATGTTAAACGAGTTTGATGATAAAACGTGTAAAAAATTGATTAAATTAATACACAAAACAAAGTTTGTAACATCGATTTTTTATTTTAACATAATATAGGATTTTTTTTCCTTCTCACATTATGAATTTCAGTTTACGAAAAAAAATGTACCTTTTAATAATTATATATACCTAATCAAGATTTATCAAAACATTTACTTAATTAATTGTCTAATTTTAATAAGTTTGTTCAATAATATTACATCCAAAAATCATCTCATAGAATCTATTTTATAACGGTTAATTAATTTATGATCATTAATTAAATATACATATATTGAATTATAGAAACATGCTCTAGATCATTACGTGTGAAATAAAGATCATGATATTAAATAATTTGATCATGCTCTTTCTAAGATCATGAATATTTGGAACTAGCAATTTTCATTAGGGGTAGCACAAATTTTTTTCCCTATAAAATATGAAAGTGTAATACCAAACTAATCACTAGGGGTGTTAATGGGGCGGTTCGGTTCGGATAGTAATAAAATTGTGAACCGTGATCACGAGGCGGGTACTGCATGTGCACTAACCGAAACCGAACCGAATTAGCAAAAAAACTGAACCGAACCGAACCGTATAAAGGCGGATAACCACGGTTCGGTTCACGGGTACCCGCTAAATATAAAAATTTAAATACAATTAAAATTACAAACTTCATTCCAACGATTTCTTTCTAAAAATTACTAAGTCCAAAGAATTATAAAAACATAATAAAGTTCAAATAACATACAATATAATTGGTATAATAAATATAAAAATAAAAATAGAAGAAAACATAACGTAGAAGTGTAAAATTGGAATAGCCGATCATAATAATTGTTTAGGATATGGCTAAAAGTTCAATGAAAATGAATAATATTATATATATATATATATATATATATATATATATATATATATATATATATATATATCAAGCGGTTCGGTTCGGTTATCCGCGGATACCTAAGTATCAAAACCAAAACCGACCCGTTGATATCCGGTTTTTTCGGTTTCGGATCGGCCGGTTCGGCTCGGTTTTACGGTTTTGCGGTTTTTTTGCACACCCCTACTAATCACAAAAATTTCATTGGTTATGAAGAGGCCAATATAGAGAGATGAACTAAAAAGAAAAGAGATACCTTGTAGATTTTATGTTCTATTGTTGTCATGAAGAGCTACCCCTTTTTCTTTTTAAAAAAAGCTATTAATTTAGATCGCAAAAGCATACTCTTTTTGTAAATGAGGATATAAATTTGCATTTAAAAGTTCTAAACTATAAAGTTTCACAAACTCAATGAATTTAATAATGTGATTTAAAAGACTAAGTCTACCTGAACCTATTTTTGGCTCTTGCCTACAGTAAGACATCAAGGCAAAATGATGCATTTTCATGAAAAGGATGCCTCAAATACAAGTCTAGGCGTAAATATGAGCATGCGATCCACAATCATACTAAAATGTGTTAAAATACTAATATCAAATTGGATTTAGGATAACATTAGAAGAAAAGAACCTTTGATTTACCTCTTAAATTGTTAATGCAATTGCATCTAAGTCTGCACCAGCCATCAAAAAACCACTAATCTTGACTACCATAGAGTCATGGGGTTCCAACGTGACTAGAAGATACCAAGTTGAAGTGAAAGAATCAAAAGGGTAGGGTAAAATGACCACTTACTTAGATTCATTAGACTTTCCTCAAATGCATGACATAAGGGGTTATGTTCAAACAGAATCTTAGCTCACATGCTGCCAAATAGCAAGCAAAATCTAAGAAATGAAGTTCATTTAGGCATTCCATCAAACACTTGATATGCACAGATTTTGTCAAAAATCAAATTTGTTACCGGTATTGGAAATCAAATGGCAAACAAGATGAAGAGTTAAAAACAACTACATCCCTTACAATTGATATTTGATTCAGTTTTTTGTTGCCATTTTATGAATTGATTTGAGATTATTAGGTTCCGTTGCAGTTTTCATGGAACTTGAAGTTCTCAATCGGCACATCCTTAAATCACTGGTTTGGAATTGACATCGATAGATGCCTATTTCTCCAAAAGGTAGCACCTTATATCATCTAGAGTAGCACCTTGTATTATACTGAGCATAATCCAAAAAGTTTTGCAGTTCTTCGACAAGTCTAAGGAGTAGCTACCCCTGGTTCTATGTTGGTTCCGCCACTGAATATTTAGAATTTGTCCGGTTTGATTGTTATCATGTTTTCAATATTATCATTTATCATCTTGTTAGTTGTTAATAAACATGTTTAACATTGTTATTATAGTATTGAGTAGTAACCAAATTTCACGTGTTTTATTTAAATAATTTGAATCTTGTAAGACAAAAATCGTATAATTTGATTTGATAGACAAAAATATCACAAATTTAAAATCGCATGACAAGTGACAACCAGTATGCAAGCTTTAAATTAAGACAATAGATCTGGAGGGTAGGTTCATTAATTGCTTTAAACATACAATCCTTAAAATGTGCATCAATTGCTTTAAAACCACGTTGTCTTATCTTGCAGTTTTCATCTTTATATCGAATGGAACCTCTTCTGCTCTTCATGTGCATCATTTGTTTTAATAAAACGTAATTCTTAAAGCAAATGAAACCAATATTAAATATCATTAAAAGTATTTTCATCATTATGTTTGAAATGAAACCAATATTAAATATCATTGATATTAAATTTAATACTAAAAACAAGATTTTTATAAAATCTTTCTTTTATTTAAAGAAAAAAAGGATACTATTATAAAATCTAGTTGTCGTAAGAAAATATAAATTGTTTTATTCTTGTTTGATGATTTAATATATAAATGATAACATGGATGTTTAATTAGTGGGTGAAACCTATTTATAGAAACTAGAGTTGTGTCCCCCGCTATGCGGGGTTAGACGGTTTAAATATTTACACTTACGCCTTGTTCCTGAGTTTTTTTTGTAAATTCATGAAAGGAAAGGGAAGTAAAATTTTGACAGAAAGAAAGGGAGGTGAAGGAAAATACTTATTATTCCGTGTTCCCGAGTTCGAAGGAAATGAAAGGAAAATTTTTAGTTTTTGTGTTCCCGAGTTAGAAGGAAAAAGAAAATAAAACTTAAAATTTTCCTTCCCCTCATTTTCTTCCCAAATCCGCCCAATTTGGGAGGAAAAATTGGAAGGAAAATATGACTCCAAAATCCTTCCCCTCCACTCACTTTCCTTCCATTAATGAAACTCGGGAACACGATTTTCCTTCGACACCCCTCACTTTCCCTTCGTATCCTTCTATTTCTCTCCTTAAGTGGAACTCGGGAACAAGGCGTTAAAGAATATGTATGTTCACTAATTGATATGCTTTGAAGTTATTTCTATATGTTTTCTGTAGGGGCAGATGTATCATCTCAAAATAATTAATATGTTTTTGGAATATAAAAACAATGATGAACCGTTTGATTTCTTAGCGTTTATGATATTGGTTGCTATCTGATTTCCTTTATATTATACATATGGATCGTATGATAGAATATGTATAAAAGGACATTTGTTCATTAGAAGGTGATTACATGATTTTAGATTACGGAACTGGATGCAAAAGAAGTTAATGCTGGTTTGTTATGTTGTTGGATGGTCTTGCACGATTTTGTTGCATAATTTGATCGTTGCCGACATGTTTTCCTGCATCATGTCGAACGTATTGAAGATCAGCACGATGTTTTTCTCAAAGTCGGCGATGACGTGGTTGGTGATTATAAGTTCCTTGTATGGTAGTTCGCCTGGGGCATCTTCTAGTAGTGTCTGCATGGTTGTGTTGATTCTTGTGTATGTTTGTTGGAGATGGGCTAAAGATGTCTTCATGGTTTGGATCTGCTCCACACGCTTCTACATGATGCTATTCATGGTGTTTATTTGGTGTTTGGTGGAAGGGTCGGTCATTTGAGGATGTGCTTTTATACGGGATGACTGTGGTGGTTGAGTTGTAATAATAAGGTGAACTAAATGTTCTCCTGAGAAGTGATGGATATAGGGTGGTTATGCCTGGCTTAAGGAGTATTGAGTGGGTTTTTGCTTTTTTTGGTTGATACAATTTTTCGGGTTGGGTATCGCATTTAATTTCACACGTAATGTGTGGTACTTATATATCACTTTGATTGTAGTATCTGACTAAATACTTACGTGCGTTTTATATAAATGAAATCTTAATTTGTGTAAGTTTAGAAATATCCATCACATATATTTATTAAATATGTTGTTGATGGGTCTTCTTTGGATAACAACGATTTTTATTGGATGGATATAATTAAGTATAATTTATATATTAATCAATTGGTTATTTAGATTATTACGTCTGACATTCCCTTTCTACTTTCATTATTATATAAATTAGATATCGTTACTTTTATGGTTATTTACGAATGTGCCTTCAGAAGGCTATTATGCACTCAAATAGATATGGATGCTTCATATTGTTAGTCAAGTCATTTATGAAATTTAGAAGAACAGGATCAGTGATCCTATCCTATGACAAATCTGACCCAATATTTTAAAAACATAAGGACCCCGATTATGATTCACACCCTCATCTACATTCGCCCTAAAAGAAGTCATGCAAAACATCCTATTATAGGCCTTAATATCCTTAAAAAAGTGTGCATTTTGATAGAGGTCAACGAATTCAAGGGAAAACCTAGAAGGGTAAGGAAGCACTACACCCCCATCCCGACAACAATTATTATACCTCGAATGACCAGACGTGGAAAGCTTAATCACCCTTTCAACATACCATAAATATGCACCACATAATTGACAAACGCAGCTACAGTCACCAAAATCCACGTATTGAGGAACACTGGAAAACGATGCAAGATGTCGAGTCCTGTGATACCAACCAGTAGAGGAGGAAGCAGCAGGTGGAGGTCTCCGTTTGGCCGGAAGAGCCATCAGAAGACAGGCGGAGAAAACAGAAGAACAATTTTAAAAAAATACAACAATGGAAAGGGAAAAATAGAAGAAGAATAGAGAGAAGATATCTGGCACAAAAAGAAGGAAAGACGAAAAGAAACAACGGTGGAGGTTGAACGAAAGAGAAAGAGGGAAAAAGAAGAAAGTAACACGTGGACAGTAAACCAAAGGGAAAAAGACATGTAAAAAATAGAAAGGTTTGTCAGCAATCCATGTTGGTAAAAGGAAGAGTGGAAGAAAAAACATATAAAAAGGAAGTAAAGAGAAAGAAATGGAAATAGAAGGGGAATAAGAGACAAATTAGAATCAAGAAAGTAAAGACAAAACCACGAAAATAGAAGGGCAATATCAGACAAATCATAAGGCATTATACTGTAGCTAAGGGAAGAAAAATTTAATATAGATGGGCTAAAGATGTCTTCATGGTTTGGATCTGCTCCACAAGCTTCTGCATGATGCTATTCATGGTGTTTATTTCGTGTTTAGTGGAAGGGCCGGTCATTTGAGGATGTGCTTTTATACGGGATGACTGTGGTGGTTGAGTTGTAATAATAAGGCGAACTAAATGTTCTCCTGAGAAGTGATGGATATAGGGTGGTTATGCCTGGCTTAAGGAGTATTGAGTGGGTTTTTGCTTTTTTTTGGTTGATACAATTTTTCGGGTGGGGTATCGCATTTAATTTCACACGTAATGTGTGGTAGTTATATGTCACTTTGATTGTAGTATCTGACTAAATACTTACATGCGTTTTATATAAATGAAATCTTAATTTGTGTAAGTTTAGAAATATCCATCACATATATTTATTAAATATGTTGTTGATGGGTCTTCTTTGGATAACAACGATTTTTATTGGATGGATATAATAAAGTATAATCTATATATTAATCAATTGGTTATTTGGATTATTACGTCTGACATTCCCTTTCTACTTTCATTATTATATAACTTAGATATCGTTACTTTTATGGTTATTTACGAATGTGCCTTCAGAAGGCTATTACGCACTCAAATAGATATGGATGCTTCATATTGTTAGTCAAGTCATTTGTGAAATTTAGAAGAACAGGATCAGTGATCCTATCCTATGACAAATCTGACCCGATATTTTAAAAACATAAGGACCCCGATTATCATTCACACTCTCATCTACATTCGCCCTAAGAGAAGTCATGGAAAACATGTTATTATAGGCCCTAATGTCCTTCAAAAAGCGTGCATTTTGATAGAGGTTAACGAATCCAGGAGCAAACCTAGAAGGGTAAGGAAGCACTACACCCCCATCCCGACAACAATTATTATACCTCGGATGACCAGGCATGGAAGGCTTAAACACCTTTCAACATACAAGAAATATGCACCACATAATCGACAAACGCAACTACAGTCACCACAATCCACATATAAAGGATGATCGGAAAACAATGCTAGATGTCAAGACTTGTGAGACCAACAATAAAGGAGGAAGCAGCAGGTGGAGTTCTCCGTTTCTCCGGAAGAGCCATCCGAAGACAGGCGGAGAAAACAGAAGGAACATTTAAAAAAAAAAATACAACAGCGGAAAACGACAATAGAAGAAGACCACAGAGAGAAGTTACCTGGCACAAAAAGAAGGAAATGACGAAAAGAAATAGCGGTGGAGGTTGAACGAAAGAGAGAGGGGGAAAAAGAAGAAAGTAACATGTGGACAGTAAACCAAAGGGGAAAATACACATAAAAAACAGAAAGGTTGTCAGCAATCCATGTTGGTAAAAGGAAGAGCGGAAGAAAAAACATATAAAAAGGAAGTGAAGAGAAAGAAATGGATACAGAAGGGGAATAAGCGACAAATTAGAATCAAGAAAGTAAAGAAAAAAACCACGAAAATAGAAGGGCAAATTCAGACCAATCAGGAGGCATTATATTGTAGCTAAGGGAAAACAAATTTAATATAGATGGGCTAAAGATGTCTTCATGGTTTGGAGCTGCTCCACAAGCTTTTTGCATGAGGATATTCATGGTGTTTATTTGGTGTTTGGTGGAAGGGCCGATCATTTGGGGATGTGTTTTTATAGGGGATGACTATGGTGGTTGAGTTGTAATAAGTATGGCGAATTAAATGTTATCCTAGGAAGTGATGGATATAGGGTGGCTATGTCTGGGTTAAAGAGTATTGAGTGGTTTTTTGCTTTTTTTGGTTGATACAGTTTTTCAGGTTGGGTATCACATTTAATTTCACATGTAATGTGTGGTAGTTACATGTCACTTTGATTGTAATATCTCACTAAACGCTTACGTACGTTTGATATAAATGAAATATTAATTTTGTTAAGTTTAGAAATATCCACCGTATATATTTATTAAATATGTCGTTGATGGGTCTTCTTTGGATAACAACGATTTTTTATTGGATGGATATAAATAAAGTATAATGTATATATATTAATCAATTGGTTATTTAGATTAATTATTACGTCTGACATTCCCTTTCTACTTTCATTATTATATAAATTAGATATAGTTACTTTTATGGTTATTTACGAATATGCCTTCAGAAGGCTATTATGCACTCAAATAGATACGGATTCTTCATATGGTTAGTCAAGTCATTTGTGAAATTTAGAAGAACATGATCAGTAATCCTATCCTATGATAAATCAGACCCGATATTTTAAAAACATAAGGACCCCGATTATGATTCACACCCTCATGTACATTCGCCCTAAAAGAAGTCATGGAAAACATGCTATTATAGGCCTTAATGTCCTTCAAAAAGTGTGCATTGTGATAGAGGTCAATGAATTCAGGGGCAAACCTAGAAGGGTAAGGAAGCACTACACCCCCATCCCGACAACAATGATTATACCTCGGATGACCAGGCATTGAAAGCTTAAGGTCCCTTGCAACATACCAGAAATATGCACCACAGAATTGACAAACGCAACTACGGTCACCACAATCCATGTATAAAGGAACACTGGAAAACGAGCTCCGTTTTCGATGTTCTTTATATCCACGCGAAGGTGGGAACGTACTCTACAACTTTCGTTTAGGCTCCGTTGGCTAATTTTGACTCTATTTTAAAATTTATAGTATTAACAGGCCGGGATAGGATTGGTCCGTTAAATTCTCATAACTTCTTCATCTGATGTCCGTTTTCGCCCATCTTTTTCTTGTTATGCTACTCTTAACGAGATCTTCGATTCTCGTTTAGGTTGTGTCGGCTAAAAACCGCTCGATCTAATATTTGAATTTCGGATTGTACACTGCTAAGATGAAACTTCGAAAAATCATAACTTCTTCATACGAAGTCAGATTTGGGCGTTCTTTTTATCGATGTTCTTAGTTTAACATATTCTACGACTTTTTTTTATATTGCTAAGGCTAAATCTCGCTCTATCGTAAATTCAATATTTACGTTTCCCGGTGTCGTGCCGCTTCCGTCGCAAAACTTCGACGGGTCATAACTTCTTCGTTATAACTCGGATTTCGGTGTTCTTTATTCTAAATAATCTTTTGTCGAAAAGTCGTTTTCGACCCCTATTGCATCTAATTTGACTAGCCCGGATCTACGGGCGTTACATGCTTGTCTTGTACTACTTTTTAGTGCATTAAAGTAGTGTATTTGGAGTCTGTTGTACCCTTATTATTTATTGGGTTTGACACCCATAACATCTTTCAAAATGTATTCTTCCAAAAGGCCTATCAATAAAAAAAACACCTACTAGAAATACCACAACCCAAGACTTTCATATGATCAACTGATTTATTCGTCTCTATATTATCACTATGGCGGTATGCTTGCGTATTTTCCACAAGAAATCTCACAACCACAACGACCAACACAACCACTACCACAAACACAACCACAACCCGACCCAAATTTTAATCCATTTGATTTTTGTATCAAGCTGAGTTTGTTCAACAAACACAATCACAACCACGAACGGTCATTTCTGATTCCGAACCAGGATTCGTTTAAGAAACTAAACCCACTCGAGCAGCAAGTAAAAGTAAAAAGAAGGCGCTGACTACATGATGGGAACCCCTAGAAGTGTTAGTCTTGGCACAATCATGGATTGATATTTCAGAAAATGCGACGATTGGAACAGACCAAAAACATGACCGTTTTTGGATTCGGGTTTTACATAGGTTCCACAAATGAATGAACCGTGGAATCTATCGTTCAAAACATCAAGTGTACTCGAAATGGAGGAAGATGAACAAGCAAGTCATGTTGTTTAATGATTTGTACACCAACATGAAACGTCAATGGAAAAGTGGAGAAAGCGGTGATGTGATTTTGCAGAAAGCGTTCAAAGTGTATCAAAAAGAAAACGTGAAGGCTTTCAAGTTTCTTGAAGTTTGGAATCTTGTGAAAGATAATAAGAAATGGAAAAACATAAAAATATTAGACGAGCATATTGACAATGGTTCAAAACACAACAGAACATTGGAACCCGACCACACTACATCTGATGCTCGTGTTCAATTTGACCTGAACGAGGATGAACTTGTTCCAGTTTCACCACCTTCCCGACAAATAGGAAGGGACAAAGCAAAAAAGCAAATGCAAAGCATCATGTTCGGATGAGTTGAAAAAAAAATAAGGGTTGATATGAAGGGTATAAAAGATATAATGGATAAGATTTTGCAACTTGCTTCCGAAAAAGAACATCGGAAACAAAGGGGCAGTGACATGAGAGTGCTAGCGATGGACACGTCGAATATGATAGGGGACGAGCTTCAAGTTATTTTGGCGATGAAGGAGGACTTTAAAAAACGATATGCTGATCGTTTTTGATTTCTAGTTTTTTTTTCAAGTTTTTAATCGTTTGATGTGTGGTTTTTTAAGTTGTAGGTTTAATATTTCTAATTTGCTTTTCTATTTTTTTTTTTTTAATTTTTTAAAGTTATGCAATGTAATGGTATTTTTATTTTTAATTAATGAAATATTATCTTTTAAAAAAATTAAAGTTTTTATTCATTAAAAAAACTA